AGCAGAATCCGTAGCAATGGCTCCTGCCTTTGGTTAGATAACTTTTGCGGCAGGAGCAATCTGCAAAAGAAGCTACATCACAAAAATGTCAAGGGGAAAACCATATAGCAAAGCAAGTTCATCAAATTTACGAGGGAAGTAATTAATCTCTTTCACAGAAAACCCTATGGCTAAGAGTCTGATTTATTTTTTTTTTTTCAACTCTCGAAGAGCCAAAAAAAAAAAAGGTACTGAACTTATTATAATCTGTTCTTTATTCTAAAGCCAAGAAAATATAGATTGGAATTCTGACCTTCATAAGATGAGAAAACCAGCCGTCGATGTGATGTGACGTGCCATGAACAGCAACCTTGCTTGATTTATCTCTGTGAAATCTTAATTTCAGCAAAACGTCGACATGCAGAGCTGTCATCAAAGAAAAAACAAGAAAACGAGGCAGGAGAAATCATTAGTTATTAATTTCTCAACCATTACTAATTAATTGTACGAGAAAAAAAACCCAAAAAAAAAAAAGAATACCATGGTTGAAACAAATGAGGGTACCTGCATATGTGGTCTCTAGGATTTTGATCGAGTACATATCTGACGTCCACTTCTCTGCATTAGCAAATCTTGCAGCCACAAAACCAAAAAACTGCTGAGAATAGATTATTTTTGTAAAAGAAAACAGTGGTCTTAACTCTTAATCAACACCCTATGGGAAAGGAAATCATGACAGGAAGAAAAAAAGAACAAAAAAAATAAAGAAAGAAAGAACGAAACATCATAGCAGTAAATCAGGTGTATAGCCAAAAATTTTGACAAGGCTACATAGAGAATTCCATCTCCGGTAATAATGAATACCCAAATATCAAGGATGATTGCCCAGTTTTGCAGCAGCTGCAAGAGGACTCAGCACAGAAACTTAAACAGCTCTCTGGGCTTCTGGGATCGATCTCTCAAAGCTGTATTTATGGACATGGGCATGAGCATTTGGGCGTGTAAAAGATAAGGGGCTTGTCCTTTTTTGTTATACGTTACGTGCCAAATGTTGTTAGGTTGTTTGAGGAGTAGTCGCGAGGAGCAAGACCTCTAACGTCTATAGAAAACGTTTTATTATGTTCACACCAGGGTCTGTGTTACAGGGAACGGTTCCCAAAGAGTGCGTGGTAATGCTCATTAGTACACTTAATTACAACTCATCATATGCATGTACACATTTAATTTTAGATTTTCTTCCAATTAAACAATTATTTGATTCAATTTCACTTACCAAAACACTAGCACTTGAATTTCACATCCATTGAGCACTCTTGTAAGACAAGCTCAAATTAATATACATTTTTATTTTTATTTTGGTATGGAGATGAAGTGTATGTTAGTTTTTTTTTTTTTTGAAAAGCACGTAGGTTTTAATTGAAAGTTTCTCGAAATGTTTCTCCAAAAAAAAAATTTCTTTCTTTTTCAAAGCTAGAAAACCAATTAGAGATAAACAAAATATTTATCAGAATAATCAGCTAAATTGCTTTTCTAGAAGAAATAAAATCACGAATTATATCACGATGCATCAAGATTAATACTAATGAACTGAGGGCCTTCTTTTGTAATAGTAAATATTGGGATCGTTTGAACAATTTGAGAAGCTAAATCAAATGAAGTGGTAAAATATCAATTATTGGCATTCTTACAATTGAGGTACGGTGTCAATAGTTTTGCAGTAACATGCAGTCAGTAGATTAAGATCACCATTCAGTCAATAATCAAGCTAATCAAGGATTGGATACTAGTAATGCATATTTTTATTTATCCAAATTTGTTGACTTATAGTGTTTAAATTCAAATTCATATGAAGTAACATGTATTTAGGGCTGTCAGTGTATACATTAACAGTGTAGAATATATAATATGTGTGTGTAACGCACACAAGTCATGTAAGGAGCGGCACGACTAACTTGGAAATTTAAGCATTTTTCTGAGATTGCTAATTCTACTTAATATTCTACCCAAAGCATGAGGTTGATGTTATATGCCATGCTTTAAATCAATTTTTGAGTTTTTTGTGCTCAAATTCGATGATGTGTTTTCTTCAAAAAAAAAAAAAAGAGTGCTTGTGAATTTCTCTCTCTCTAGCCTGGCCTCTCTTTGACCCCTTTTCTTTTTCTTCATTTTTTGGTTTTCCCTTTCTATCAGTTTAGTGCTAGCCAAAATGCAGCTAAATATTTTCTTTTTCAAGTGACCTATTTTTTAAAAAACTCAAAAGTGGCTGTGAGGGAAAGGGAACTTCTAGCAAATTTTATGATTTCTATTTTTGCCTTCTTGCATTTTTTTTTTTTTTGCATTTCTTTGCATTACGCATCAGTTTTTATTTTTTTTCCTACACTTTAAATTTTATCTCAATATGGGGCTGAAGTAAGTTCGTCGAAGTCCATACCATTGTATTATACCATATATTTGCATCGATTTTCAGTTTTCTGAGCATATGCAATTGGAAATCATTCAAACGAAATTAATCTCTATGAAAATTCAATTTCTTCTTCAACCAGAATTTATAAATTGGTATTCTTTTTTTTATTCAACTTATAATAATTAATCCTCTTGAGTACGTTAATTTACTATGTTCACATTTTTTTTTTGTCCCTTAAACCAAGATTTTGAAGCTTGAAACGCAAGGAATCCACAAACAAAATTGACGAATGGCTAAACAAATTAGAAGGCGTTGTTTTTATTATTATTATTTTTTAAGTTTCCTAAAACTGACCTTTTCCAAATCCAAAGGGAAACTAAAACATGTCCCAGTAGTTCACGCTTCCGAAACCTGCATGATTTGGAATCCCAATACCATAATGAAAAGAACGGAAGTTGTTTGTTTTATGTATGGAACCTGTGCGAAGTGCCAAAAACATTACTCTTTTTCTGATGATCAATATTCTTGAATGTCATCTTGAATCTTGATCAAACAAAATTAATGGCGATGTGCCTGTTGGATTTATTGGCTACAGTAGCTACAGAAGAAAAGATAAAGCTAGATGAAGAAGAAGAGAGGAAGAAAAGGAATCAAGAACGACTACGTTTGTTACCCACGAACGTAATCCAACTCGAACCCTTGGCAAAGTCTAAAGGTAAAAGGTCAATCAGGCGAGAGTTTACAACATCAATGATGCATCTCGATGATCATCAGGAAGTTTTGGGTAATCTTCATAAGCCAGAATCAGGTCCAGCAGTGGAAGAAAAGAGCGATCATCAAGAGAAGAAGGTAGAAAAAAAATTGAAGAAAGTTACGAGCCAAAAAGAGAGGAGAAAAGTAAACAAGGCGGTTAGTGATAATGATAATAATGACGATGATTATGGCCTAAAGCAGAAGAGGGATAGGAAAAGGAAGGTAACTATCGTTGGTTTTGATTCTCCACCTCTGCCTAAAGAATTCAAGGAGCGGATTAAAGCCAAAGCCGAAGGCGGGGTAGTAGGCAAAGAGATAAAGGTGATAGAAAAAAGGCTAACAAGAACTGATACTCAATTCGCTCAAAACCGATTCTCCATTCCAGTAAACCAGATGGAGGAGGAATTTCTTCTCCCTGAAGAATTAGAATTCCTTAAAAACCATACCCCTGATGGAGCGCATTGGAATACGATGGAGGTAAAGATAATTGAGCCATCGGGGAAAGTAGAGAAAGTGGGCCTGAGCAGGTGGGAGATGAGGAAGGAATCTGGCAAGCCGAGTGTATCTTATGTGCTCAAAGGAGATTGGAAAAAAGTTTTGACGGAGAACAGGCTCCAAGAAGGCCAGATGGTACAGTTGTGGGCTATTAGAATTGGTATAAACGAAGAGCTTTGTTTTGCCTTTGTTGTACTGTGATTAAGAGAACAGGAAGAGGAAGGGAGTACTTGTAAGACTAGTAATGTTGATAATGGAACTAATAATAGTCCTCCTGTTAATTTCATGTGTTGACGGTGAAGCAGAAGAAGCCAAGGCATCATCACCAGGGGAAAAAGATGGTGAAGTTGAAGAAGGTAAGGCGGATCATCCGGATAATGGTCAAGCTGAAGTTAAGCCATCATCATCATCTGGAGGAACTAATAAGTAATCTGAACCTGAATATCATGAATGAATGAGATTGGTTGATGGACCTCTTTGGTAATCTTATGAGTTTGGATACTGTATTAGTACTTATAATTACTAATTAGTGAATGTGCAAACTTTCTTGATTATGAGTACTTTTGTGATTGGATATCAGCCAAAAGTATATGTAGCTGTAGTGGTTGACCAAATCTGCAGGGAGCATCCTTTCAGTTTGTTTGATCTAGTGACAAATTTCAGATTTGAGCACCAACAAAAGCTTTTTAGCTTTCTATAAATATTTGTAGCAGTATACATTTATTTACAAGAAGTTTTTTTTTTTTTACCTGCCTTTTATATATACAGTTAATATGCTGTCCATGATATAAATTGTTCAAAGGAAAAAGAGTAGCATTTTAATTAATAATGGCAAATGCAACTGATCATGAAGAGCCTTCGACTAAAATCTGTAATCATTATTATTCCTTAGTTTCTTGGTTCACGCCATAAAGATTTTGAAAGCACAGTATTCCCATCTTAGCAAAAGCTTGCAAAATGAAGTCAAGGGCCAAAGGCACCCATGCAACATGCCCCTGTCCAAATTCTGCTAGTCCAATGTGCATCAAATATACCTACATATTGACTGCTAGGATGTGGAGAAACAAAACAATTGAAGAGAATGCAAGAACATAAGTAGCAATAGTATTATGGTAAACATAACATAAAGATCAAAAGAAATAATTGAAACAGAGGCACAAAAAGAAAAAAGCCCAGAGAAATTATCATCATGTACTAGCCAAGTCCAGAAGACACTAGCTACAAATTAATTTCCAACCCATGAAGGCATGAGCCTTTATTTTCTAAGTAAATTTATTATAAAAAAAAAAAAAAAGAAGAAGAAAAAAGAAAGAACTCAAGAACTTGAAAAGTCTATAACTAATTAGCAAAGATTATTTTTCGTTCATGTTACTATACTATTCTGCATGAATATAAGGGTCATAGCACCCTGGTGGATTCACATCCATATCTTCAAGTAAGTAATGTATTTTCGCTTTGTCTGGTGACATGCCTCGATGGAAGCCCTCTATGGCAAACAAGGGCTGCTGCATTTCCATCCCTTGTTCATCAAAGGAAAATATTGAGTTCCCAGCACTTACCTTCTGAACACAGTAATTTTGGCCTTCGATCATGGGCTCCGATGGCTTCAACTTTTCTCCCTCCTCCAGTGATGATTCAGTGACCATCTGCGTTTCTGGTTCAGTCTTTTTGTTCTCAACCACAACTTGCTTCTTTTTCATTCGAGCGCGACGATTTTGGAACCAATTGTAGACATTTGATTCAGAAATTTGGCCATGTTTTGCCAATTCAGCAGTGATATCTTTAACCTTCTCCTTTGATGGAGTCTCATTGCCTTGATCAAAAACACGTTCAAGAATCTGAAGCTGCTGAGCAGTTGGATTCCAACGCTGTCTTCGAGGAATCCTATGGAGGGAAGAAGTTGTCATCAACGGGGTAAGATACGGATTTCTCAGCATGAAATGCGAAGGATCATTCTGCGAGATGAGGGCTCTATGCAAATCTTCTAGTTGCTCGCAGATGGTTGCATAAGCAGCAATTTGCTTCCCGAGGATTTCCATCTGCTCATCGGTCATCACCTTCACAAACATGTCATCTCCATTGTTCAAATTTCCACCATGAATATTCTGTCCCTCCATTAGTAGTTGAGGCTTTTGTCGTTCTTCTTGATGTTGCTTCTGTTTTTCATACTCCATACCTTTTTTGACTGAATTGAATTGTGGTTCTTATGAGACTTATATGCCTAAATCTTCTGAATAAAACAACCCTTTCTAGGAAGAAATGAGTACAAGATCAAATCTTATTCTTAATTACCAAATAATACATTTTAAGTAGGGGAGATATGCAAAAGATTACAATCATTTTTGTACCAATATTTAAGTCTAATGGATTTAATGAAGAGCTAATAGTTACCCTTGATACATTTTAGAAAAGGAAATGTCTAATAGTATATGCTAGTAGGTACCATAGTTCGAGATATTTTAAGAAACAAAATCAAGAGGTGATGTATATGATCAAAACCTTCCATTACTTCTTTCTCTTCCTATCAAAATTGGGTTGTGTTAATTGTTTGTTTGGCAAAATAAATTTATATGACTATTAATTGCCACAAACTCAAAGAAAATTCAAGTATACCAAAAATTATTGCTATTTAGTACAGTCACTAGATTTATTAGTATAAATTAAACTGCAACATTTGTTAGGCTTCACAGGCTGATGAATAGGGAGAAGTGGAGTAAACTAGAATTTGCTTCTTTTTTCCCCTCCTCAATTATGTTCTTGTTAGATTTTTTCCCCTTGTGCGAGTGATAGTAGTTATTATGACCTGTAATATTCCTGTACTTTTAGTCCAAAGTAATTCAAGAGAGGAATATACATAAGCATGAAACATAATACCATTAAAGAAAGTAAATCACTTTACAAATCTGATTATTTAATAGCATATGGGCCAAATATTCACAAAAAAATACAAACAAGACCCAAGTTATGATATCATCAATTGGTTAAAACATCTAATTGATTCAATGAGTCCCGAGACACACACACATATTCCCGAGAATTGTGTCCTTTTTTTTGTTTTAGCTTTGACAAATACTAAAGTGAAAATCAAGCATCAAACCTTAGCGCCTTGTTACAACTTAAAACGCAGGCACAAGACACCATATTTAACCTCAACTTCCAAGTAAATTCTTGGTTATGAAACAAATTTAAAGCAGTTCTTTGATCTTTATATGTGCACATAATGTTGAGAGAAATAGACCTAGAAGTACAGAAACTTCTTGGCAGATATTCACCAAGAATACCTCGAGTGAGTGTGTTCCAGAACCCCCAACCTCATCATGAATAAATTCTTGCTACCATTCAATGAATTGGCAACTCTTCCTTTTCTCTCAATCCAAGAAAAGTAAAAGGGTCTCATCAACGCCCAAAAACATCTTCCTTTTTCATTTCTTTTTGGGAGATTTTTTTTTTTTTTTGGTGGGGGGGGGGGGGGGGTGTTGTGGTTTGTGTGGGTGAGGAGGAGTGTGTGGAGATAGTGAGATATGTTACAAACATCTCTATTTCTGAACTGATATTCTTATATAAGTCTGTCTTAAGCACGCAACATAGAATTCCAATAGGGTAACATGAACCAAGCCTGCTTTCCCCTTTTAATTCCTGCAGCCCAACAAACATCTTTTGCTCGAAGTTCTATGAGGATTATAACCAGTTGAATGACTTTTACTCCTACTTATAATTCCATATAGTTAGGATTAGCAGATCACGAGGAAAATAAACATGTTACACCAGAATATCCCCCAATGAAATGTGGAATCAGCCAAATAATAATCTTGGCCTTTTCAGGAAACTTTATCTGCCATCAAGGTGATCAGTGCTTGTCAAACGAGAGCTCAAAACATGACCAATTACTTCATAGATATTGAGACTGTGATCTCATGACCCCAAACGTTTGAGATATCCAAAAAAGCTTCCCTGAAAGTCCTCAAAACTAAGCATTTAGCAGTTCTCAGAGACAGCATAACAATGTCCATTGCCAAGTCTTTCCACTACGGTACTGTCTCAGTCCTCAGAATTCGCCACAACATCCTCCAAATGCCGCTCATAATTCAGAAAGTCTTTTCAGCTTTCTAGTTTTCAAACATTGCGGGTCCAGGACCAAATCCACAAAATATTCTGATCTTCTGAGAACAAGTTTATGCCTGCATATATAACCACTCATGCAATGACTACTTATCTCGTGTTGGTCACGGCCAGCCTTTATGAGTACCTTGAAGGCCATCTTGTAAAACTATGCAGATGGATCCTCGGAAGGAAATGTAAAGCCACCCGAAATATACCTGAAAGCAAACTGAAATTAATTAAAAAATTCATAGGGGAAGAGACATGATGCTCAAGTAGCCATTTTGCATCCTCATCTTCATCATTGTACACTTGATGTATTTTTAACTTCCTTGCCATTTCAAGTGTAATGGCCTTTATACTCTCTAGCTTCATTTGGGAAATTTTCAATTCTTCAAGATTCTCACTAAGCTAAATTGCTGCTTTCTTATTACTCGGCGAATTCATCTGTAATATTCAAATCTTAAATTAATCGAACAAAAATTCCAAATAAACAAGCTCTTTGGCCTAAATCTAAAACTAAGCTTTTTGTCATTTTTCGTTTTTGATGACAAGAGGTATAGCGTCCAACATACTTGGACAATGTTTTTGTGCTATAATCTAAGAGTTTCCAAATATTTTTACATTTTATTCTATGAGTTCCCAATATCTGAATACTTCAACTTCAAGCTCAGTACAAGAATTAAGAGCATGATTATCCATGTTTTCCATGTTCACAACAATTTTACCTTGCTTCAGGTAATTTTTTCACATATCTTAGACTACCAAGACTAAGCAAATTGAACTCCTGAGATTTCACGCTTTCTGAATTCGAAATCCTGATTTCTTTGTGATTTAGTCAAGAAAAGTAGTTAAATGAACCTACTGAAGCCAATATACGTTTGCTCGATGAGTAAACAAAATATCCAGTTGTTTTATAATTCCGAATTATTTTTACATGGTAACGGTAATAAACATCAAGACTTAAATCCTCCAAGAGATGTCGCAGAGCTAAAGTAATAACTACATATTATTCAATCTCTATTCTTCTAGAAATACTATCAAGATATGGAAATTATCAGTATATAGTTTGTGCAGATACATTATTATGCCCAAAACAAACAAGAGCAACTACATTTCTGTGACAGGTAGATGTACAAAAAGTAGCCTCTATATAAGAAGTATCTAATTCAAAAGTAGCTTTTACCTTGCTACAATGGTCATTCCCCAGCTTCTAAATTCATGTATTACTTCTTGAGAAATACATTGGTGGCTCCATCATAAAAGCTACAGATTCTGCTCCAAGAGCAGCAGATCTCAAGCTTTCAACCTAAAATTCGAGCAAAATCTCCTATGCACTTCTGGACAATTAAAATATCGTCCAGCCTAGTAATGTAGGGCTGAATTTAAGAGCTAATCAAAGTTAAAGAACTCCAATCTGAAAATAAAGACAAGGACCTAAGTTTCAGCTTCCAGCTTTGGCTGTGCCATGTGTTCTTGACCGTTTCTTTCTATTTTTCCAAAACTCATCTTTTTTCCTTTTTTTCTTCTGTTTCATCAAACCCAAGCTGCTATTAATTATACCCATAAGAGCACTCTTATCCCTCCTACTCTTTATTTTGGCCTTCGCATCCAAGATTGCCCTAAGCTTCTCATATGATTTGGCATCTGGAACCTGCCCACTTTTCACCATCTGCTTGTGATAAAAGAATGCCCTTCTAAAATCTCGGACACGTAGATAAGCATATATCATCGTAGAATATGTGATAGAATCAGGTTTCAGTTGCAATGCGGCCATCTCCTTCAGAAGCTGTGGCAATTTTGATTCTTGTCCTCCCCTTGCATACGCATTCACTAACATATTATAAGTCATTATGGTTGGTTCAAATCCAATTTTTCTGAATTCACATATTACATCTCTTGCTTCAACATAGTGTCCTTGTTTAGCAAATCCATCCAAGAGAATGTTAAAGGTCACCCGTGTGCCATCAATTTTATTCCTTATCATCAGCTTCCAAATCTCCATCAGCATTTGGGTGTCACCAGCACGTCTATATGCATCAAGCAGAGCAGTATAGGTTTCAATGGAGGGTTTAATTCCCTCCTTTTGCATATTCTCAAAGGCCAAATAAGCTTTCTCATGCCAGCCACTTACTGAATAGGCGTGAATGAGAGCTGTATAAGAATGTGACGTAGGAATTATACCAACCTTTTTCATTTTCAAGAATGCATCTGCAGCCATGTCACTCATTTTTTTCTGCCTTCCATAAGCACTAATTAAGCATGTATATGATTTGACATTAGGCTCCAACCCCACATTTTCCATCTCTAGCATCAGTTTCTCAACAATTTCAGGCTGCATTCTTCTGCTATAAGCATCCATTAGAATGTTATAACTGGCAGCAGTCGGTGAAATTCCCGCAGCCTTCATCTCGACAAAAAGACCCTCAGCTTCTTCAATCTGGTTTGATTTACAATATGCATCCATGATTGTATTATACACAACAGCATTGGAAGAAATCCCTCTTTTCTCCATATCTGATTGGATAATAAGAGCTTCCTTCTTCAGTCCCTCCTCACAAAAGGACTTGATTAACGCACCTGAAACTTCCAAACTCCACTTGACTCCTTCTGTTTTCATCTTTTCAACCAACTCCCATGCATCTTTAGCACTATTACCCTTCTTTCTCAGAACTGTAACCATAATGGAGCACGTCACATGATCTGGTTGGACATTATTTGTTTCCATTGATTTGTATACTCCCCAAGCATCATCATACCTTCAAATGCAGTAACGTAAACACGAGGAAAATCAACCTTTATGTTTGCAGATATAGCTAGAATTAGTTTAAGACATGCCATACGAGAGAGAGAAATACACAGGGTGACATCTAAAGAATACTAAAAGGTATGTGCATCTGGCAAGAACTACGAAAATGCAAGTTTATTCAATTATTTTTATTGATCAAGCACAATAATGCTGGTTTAACAAGAAACGCGCACAACTTAGAAAACTGCCATCATCCTTAAACCTTCTTGTGCAAAATTCTATCACAAGATAAGCAAGGCGTGG